CGCGGCATGTGGGATCTTCCCGGACCGGGGCACGAACCCACGTCCCCTGCACCGGCAGGCGGACTCTCAACCACTGAGCCACCAGGGAAGCCCGGCACCAAGTTTTAATTGGACACATGGTCACCCGGTTAGAGTGGGAGGTTCCACGTGTGGCTGTGTTTGGGCCGGTGGGATGTGAGTGAAATTGACATGCTCAGTTTCCAGATATGTGCCTTCCACTTCCTCTACACCCTCCTCCAGGGTGGGATGTGGAGAAGGTGGTGGTGACCAGGCCTCACTGCTCCGAGCATGGTCCAAAGACCTGCAACATCAGAATCACCTCAGAGCTGGTTAGAAATGCAGAGGCTGAGGCCCCACCCCAGACCTACTGGGTCAGCATTCTCACATACGGGTGGTTTGTGTACACTCAAGCTGGAGAAACACTGCCCTTAGAGGTTGAAAGAACAAAATAGAAGGACTGGGCAGCCTTCCAGTCTTGGATCACTTACCCCTGAAATGCTCAGTAAGAGAAAAACCTCCCCCATATCAGAAGGTAAAGGCTGAAACACTCGCCAGCTGCACTTACTCAGAAAAGCGAGAATGCCTCCAAGAATCCCCAGAATGGCGGGAACTTGCAATCCTCCTTCGGCTTGAGGCCTGGCCTTCATACAGTTGCTGACGACCCCTTCACAGTCACACACGTGCACATCTAAGGTGGTCACTTGGTCTTTGTTCTGGTTGTCTATGAGCTTGAGATTGATTTTGTAGTCACCCACGTCTAGGGTTTTCTTTGGCTTAAAAATCAGAGATTCATGTTCTGGAGGAATCAACAAAAATGAGGGGATCAGGAGAGATAACAAGTTCATTCTAGATTAAAATTATTAGGGAACTAGGGACGTTCCAAAGCTGAATGAAGACAACAGCTGCTTGGGTTGTAGATTATTGGGCAGTATGTCACGGACTCAGACACCAGAAACGCAAAGGGATCTTTGGTTCAATGCCACAAATGTAGAAGGGACAAGGAAACAAGCCTTAAAAGGGGTGACAAGTGGGGAATTCCCTGGCAGTCCAGTGGTTAGGACTCTGAGCTTCCACTGCTGGGGGCCCAGGTTCGATCTCTGGTCGGGGAACTAGGATCCCACAAGATGTGTGGTGCAGCCAAAACAAAACAAAAACAACAACAAAAAACAAACAACAACATAAAGGGGGTGACAAGTGGATACTGAGAAGGGAAATTCAGAAGCGGGAGGCGGGAGGGAAGCACAGGGTCAGAGCAAAGTTTCCAAAGTAAGACTCAAGTGCCCACCTTGGTCATTGTACTCAATGGTCCAGTTGACACTTGCCCCATGTGTTAGTTCTGCTGTGAAGGGAGAAGTGTTGGGGGGAAGATCAGGATCAATGATGTTGATGATGAGAGGCTGTGGATCCCTCTGGCAGAAGTCCATGTTCCGAGGTTCTGGTACGGGGCCATTGTCATTCACATCATCGAGGAATAGAAGCAGCGTTCCCGTTCCAGTAGCAGGTGGAGAACCTAAGAAAATACACAGGAAATGTCATAGCTCAGGACCACTGATGAATCCCTAGTGCCTCCCATCAGACTGAATCCAACTGTCCTCCTGGCTCTTTGGGGCTCCCTCACCAGGCCCCACCCTGCCCACAGAGTCACCCTCCTGCAGGTTCCAGGCCATCCTCATTCGTGGCTGGGAAGACCTCTGACATGCTTATTCCCCACTTTGATAACAATTACTCAAGTTATTTCTCACACCAAGGACTCCCTCCATCTTCACACATAACTTTATTCATCCATTAAATTTTAACATCTCTATGCCAAGGGAAGGGG